CAAAGATACAAACATGCATCTTCGTAAAATGAAGAGCAATTCTGGAGTTTTGAGAGAACTACGGATTAAAAACTGAATAGATAGTAAGGAAAATAATTTAAATAAAAACTCATCAAAAATTCTAGGCTTGAAGTGGGATGCAGATCAAGACAGTTTACGTTCAGATGTAACTCAAGTCAAGCAATTACTTAATGAGCAGAAAATAACAAAAAGACACATTTTGCAAACTGTAGCTAAAATTTATGACCCAATGGGATTGGTTTCTGCATATGTAATTAGAGCTAAGTTTATGATTCAAGAATTACGGGAATGTGGTTTTGATTGGAATTTCGAGGTATCTAAGAAGCTACGAAGGAATTCTTGACGTGTTAACATTAATATTCCGAGAAGATACTTCTTATGGGGGTAGAAGGAATGAGCGTAATAATTTGCATATTTCTGTGCAGCAAATATTAATCCCATTAGTCTGGGCGATAGCATTCTGCTTTGAAAAACCAGCCAACTACCTTTCATTGAACTTAGTAAAATTAACATGAAATATCTTATTTATAATTATTCCTTTAATATTTCTCGCCAGTGTAAAAAAACTCTGTACACTGTGCTTCGAAGTATATCGAACGTCGGTGTACGAAGGATTTAGATATTAAGCGCCTATTGTATAAAATTACCTGCAAATAACACGATTCTAGAATTGCATGAATAAAGCAAGTCAAATTATTGTTAAAAATAATGATAATCAATAAACCATGTCAAATTTTTATCAAAGAAATCTTTACAGTTAATAAAGTCTAAAAGGTTGACGAAAAGTAACAGGGAAACGAATGACTTAGTAAAAGATGTATCTTCGTAAAAACAGGTTTGGAAGCTATGAATACGTGAAGGTAGCTGGAAGCTCAGAATGGATATTCCGTTAAATCCACGCAATTATTTCCTAACGAAAATGTATTTTTGCAGAAATTATAAAATAAAAAATGAAAGCTAAAAATTTCTGAAGTTTTTTTCCTTAAACGTATACATATATTTTGGGATATGGATTTTCATTACGTAGATGCAAAGTGGGAAAATTTAGTTCAAGAAATAACCGCAAGTGTATCTCACGTTATTTCATTGAAATCACACGACTATTCATGTTTGAACATGTCTGAACTAATATGTGCGTAAATTTCAAGCAAGTAGGGACAGGTGCGTGCTAATTACTGGAAAAGAAACAGATTTGTACTCTGGAATAAATTACAAATTTAGAAAACATATTAATATAAATGTTTTTGTGAAAATCCAAAAACGTGTCTTACTGGAAAATATTAGAATTGTTGACAGCAATATGTGTTTAAGATGCCATGATAAATTCGAGCGTATTAAATGGCATTAAGAGACTGTGGCCAGCTTATATATAATAAGTGACAACTGGAAACAAACAACTCAGAACAGTAGGCTATCGTTAATATGCAATGCGATGCGCTCCTACAAAAGAAATAATGTGAGCCTGATGAGAAAGATTTCTTCTAAATATGTGCACGCACAGTCGCGATTCGCTCTGCATGGACAAAATTCGATTTCCCAGTCAGATCACCCTATCTTTTCAACTGTTAATTCCCTGAGATTGAAAATTTCTTCAATGATTTCTACATAAGTGTTGTTCAACTTAATGTGACAAAGATAACCATTAGTTCAGGAAAAGAATCCGAGGGCTACTTTCAAAAATGGAACCACTGTCCATTTCGGCGTGGGCACAAAGGAAGTATTTGAAGGCAACTCTGCGCACTAGTATATAGTTCCATACTTCGTATACTTTTAAGAGCGTATTCTGAGAATTAAACTGCAATTTAAATTTTACGTCTTAACTCATTTTACCGTTAAAGACTATTCTAAAATTACTTACAATCTATTTAGGTATTCTATATAATTTTCCTGACGGAAAATTACTTTTAGCAACAAATTTTATACTATTTAAATTATAAACTCTAGTCTTAAGTTTTGAAATGTTTACCAGACTTAAAATCCTGTATGCGTAGTTAAGAATTTAACTAAAGATATGCGTTGTAAGCAGTTTTTGGATATTGACGTTTCAAATGATATAAATATCTGAAATTAATAATTCAGCCTCATACATATAGCTAAAAACATGTTAATAATTAATAATGAGACACAAATTATAAATGGCGATTTATGCGCTTGTGTCTGCCACATCGGCAAAAGATCGAACGTTGTCAGCTTAGTATCCTAACAAAATATAAACAATAGTTTAAACTTTATGGATTGAAAAGTATTTATGCGCGTATAAAAGCTGTTAATTTAAAATTTTAAACATGAAACTTTGGGTTCAATAATTTAAATTTATTATACATCTCAAACAAGATTTTTTGAAATGAAAAATATTGTTACTATAGTTTAAAATTTCAAAGGAAACCTGAAATTTATCTTTTCTTGAAGATTGAACTGGATTAGCTTTCATGAAGGACTTCCTAACGGAAACTGGCCCGTATTCACGTTTCATGTTGTATATAGGAAAAATCAAGAAATCACCTCTGTAGCTAGCCAGTTTAACCTGTTACCTTGAACCTGGTACAGCTGGTAGTGTTCAGCAGTTTAATCTGCTAAGCCGCTGATGGGCTCTTTTTCTGAAGAATAGGCATAAAATGATACATGGTGGTACGAGGGATGTTTTTTTTCAAACTCCGATCGCAGAGTGTATGATGGCCAGGCATGCGGCAGGTGGTTGGTGTGCGTAGTAGGAGACTACGCATCTCCCCCTCCACATGCTCTTTCACTGATAAGTTCAACATGCCATTTCCTGTTGAGTTGCAGTGACGTAAACATGGATGTCGCTATTGATTCTCTCGCTAAGTGTTATTCGTTTCTTGCAGGCAGAAGGGAACAAGGCAGCGGAAATTCATCGAAGAATGAGTCGAGTGTATGGAGACAACTTTATGAGTGATGGCGCTCGTGAATGGTGTCGAAAGTTTAGAGATGCCCGAACTGATGTGTATGATGAAGGGGGTCAAGGACGCAAGTCTGTCGCTACAGACGACATTGTTCAACGAGTTGACCAATCGGTTGAGGAAAATTGAAGATTCACCATAAGTGAATTATCGATGAAATTCCCGAAAGTTTAAAGACCTTCCCTGAACTCTATCGTTACTGAATAGTTGCGCTACAGAAAGGTTTTGCGCTCGCTGGGTCCCACAGATGTTGACTGACAACGACAAAACTTGCCGAATGGCTGCAGCGTTGGAGTTTCTTGACCGTTACAATACTGATGGAGAAGAGTTTTTGAAATCCGTTATGACAGGTTCAATACGACATGGGTTCAATATGACACGCCCGAAACGAAACGATAATCACAACAATGGATGCACATAAATTCTCCATGGAGATCCACAAAATTCAAACGAACCTTCAACAACCGTAAGGTTGTGGCAACTGTTTTTGGAACCAAAAAGGTGTGTTGCTTGTGGAGTGTGTGCAGCCTGGAACAACAATTAATGCAGATCAATACTGTGAAACTTTGCGATGCTTACGGAGAGCTAGTCAAAACACACGAAGAGGCATGCTGACTTCTAGAAGTGTTCTGATCCACGACAATGCCCATCCTCACAGCGCTCGTGTAACCCAACGGTTCCTTCAGCAATTTCAGTGGGACATTTTCGAACACCCATCATATAGTCCCGACCCATCGCCGAGTGACTTTCATCTTTTCTCCCTGAACTGAAGCAGCGGGTTTACGGGCAGCGCTTCCAAAATGACGTGGTGCTTAAAGAAACCGTCACAACCCACTTCCAGTCATTGGCGGGAACATTTTATGAAAAGGATATTGCAAAGTTTGTTCACAGATATAACAAATGCCTCAGTCGTCAAGGTGATTATGTGGAGAAATAACCTGTGTTGTACATTACTTTTGGTAATAAAATCTTTTTTGTATAATCACCCGTCTTTTCTTTATAGCTCATCGGAGGTTGAAAAAAATAGCCTACGTATTTACTAGATGCCTATGCCACAGCATTACAAGAATGCAGAAAACAATCGCTAAATGTGAAAGTTCAGCTAGATATACTCTTCGCCAGCAGTGGATATTCAGTGGTGCATATCAAGAGACCAACGCATGTATTTCTCTACAAACACCTAATCCAAGGCAGTAATGCCAAAGCAGTTAAAACTTATATAAGATCCATCACATATTCTGATTTTGGAAATCACAGTGTATAAAAGATTTAAAAAGAGCTGGATTTACACACTTCCACTTACTTTTCACCTCTTATTAAACAAATGTTTCATAACACTGATAAAACACTCAAATTTTAGGTAATAATAATAGTGCGTTATAAATTAACATTTCATGAATAGATTATTATTTTGAGGAAAGAAAAGAGTAGGAATAATCTGAATCTGTTGATCATAGTAACCTTATCATTCAGATTTACTTGAAAGGGTTATTAGAATTTAAAAAAAGGTTTTGCTTGGAAAATACTTTAATTAATTCTTCTTTTGGGTTAGCATTAATGTATTTCGGGACTGTAATGAAAAGAAATTTTTTTAAGGTTATAGAATATATAATTTATTCCATTTTAAAGACTCAAATTATTATGAAATACTCTGAGAAAAAGAGTAAATATTTTAACTAACCCATGTTTTTCTTGTTTATAAAAGAATTTGCATATTCAGAGTTTTGTATTGATCTAAAAAAATGCAAAGCATATTCATGGTCATGCAATATTAGAATTAAATAAACATAAATAAGGAAACGAATTCTTTAATTCATCGGAACTATTTAAAAATATTAAGAATTATTAGGTAGTACGTATTGTAAATTACATTTCTTAAATTGCTAAAGGACAGCTAGGAGTAAATTGTAATGGTTTGCTAGTTATGAAGCATGCAGTGCAACTAAAAGCAGAGAGCAGTAAATTACAGCGAAAGGGGGAATATTTAGAGCATATATTAATTAACTGGACATGCCATAATATTCAATAGAAAAAATAAAAACATCTAAAAAATAAGCTTACCTTCTGTGAGATTGAAATTTTCCAGTTACATGTCCTGAACCATCACATCCAGGTATTGGGCATCTAGATGACAAAAAAAAAAAAAAAAAAAAAAAAAAAAAAAAAAGCCAGAATTACATACTTCTCTTTAAAATTTTATATTATTTTATTTAGCCATTAAAATTATTCAAATACGAAAAGATAAGTTAATCCATATTTGCGCAATGACGCATGCTCTGAAACTTATTAATATGAAACTTATTAATAATAATAAATATGCTATAAAAATAATTATAACTCTGTCACCAAAAAAGCTTCAATAGATTGTAATGTACCCGTCGATATCTATTAACACACAGCTACCAACTATTTTTGCTCTCAAATTGAAACTGGCTTGCTGTACTTTCTAAAACAATTTATGTTCTGACAAAAGCCTCCAAATCCTTAAGTAAATTCGATATGTCTTTCTGCACTTCAAATTTTTCCTATATATTTAATAGTCTTTGTCTTGTCTGTCAACAGTTGCAAATGTTATAATTCTCATGGATAATCGCACAGAATCTTGACACTTATTCTGATCAGTATGTAGGGTTTATATTTATTTTAACTAACATTTATTTTAAGTTTAAACTATCTTTCCTGTCAAGCCTTACTTTCCCCTGGAACTGCCAATGCCAGAATATGTAAATTTTAGTAGAACGCGCAAGGATTCAAATTATCAGCGGAAGTATTATGATTTAAATAGGAAGGAAACGAGTTCGGTGTGTGATATTCTTACTTCACGAGCGCGGAGGTAGTTAGCGAGAAGTTGCAGAACCCCGCGTTTTGGCCTATGTGCTTGGCGGAAAGTAGTGTTAATCGTTCAAGTGAGCTTTCAAAGTCTGCTGAATTAGCAGCGGTATTGTAAAACGCGGTGAGTTAGTTATTTTAGAGAGCCTCGTAGTTAGAGTCTTGTCTTTAGTTTCTTTTCAGGTTATTATTTTTATTTGACCGCCGAGTTGGCGCAGTCTGTGAGCGTCAAGAGCACGCAATTGTAATTTATTACGTTGAATAAAAAGGGACTTAAACCCTTTAACAAGACTCTGTGTTTATCCAGTTTTCACAGTCACCCCCTTGGTTGCGTGCAAGTTGGAGGCGCGCAACGTTACATTGGCGCCCGAACACTTATCGAACTGAAATGGCCGAAAATTGGATGGAAGCCGCTGGACAACACCAAGAAATGACAAGCCAGTTAGGAAGGATTTGGATACCTGGTCCAGACTTTGTGAGCGTCAATCAAGCCAAACGTCCATTTCGACGGAAAAAATTCGGTGGCGGTATTTCTAGAAGGTCTAGAAAACCCACTTTCAGCTCTACCTACCCTGTTCCTGAAAGACAAAAAGTTGCCATCGCCACATCAGCACTAAGAGGACAGGCCGCGCTATGGTGGAAAATATAGGCAAATTTTTATTAGGGGAATTTGGAAGCCAGACATATACATTTGAAAATTTCAAAAAATCGTTAGTAAAGGCCTTCCCCATAGTGAAAGATCGCGCACGGCTGGAAGCCGAACTATATAGTTTCTATCAACGGGATATAGCAAGAATTGACGGACTTTATTCTACGAAAAATCAAGCTAAACGGATATGCTGTATGGGAAGAAACCCGATGCGGAGATTATTGAAATAATATTACCAAGATTGTTACCCGCTGTTCAAGACTACTTTGAAATTAGAAACCCAAGCACATTGCAGGAACTCTTCGAATTGGCGGTGAAGTTTCAAAATCGCAGAATAGCGGAAAAAGCGAGAGGGAAACATATTCTCAAAGTACCCGAAGGAAATCTTCAAATGAGAAACCAGAAATGGAAATCGCTCTTATGGGGGAAAGAGCTATCAAGCTAACGCATCGAAACTCGAAGGTCAAGGCCCAAAAAGAAAATTTGAAAATAACATCCGCGTACCCAGAAGGCACAGATTGAAAGGAAAGCTTTAAAACGAGTAGAGGGGCCTGTGAAAGGGAGGGTCCAGACCCCGGAAGTTTTAAAAAAACCCTCAAATAGACATTTAAATACTGGTCATCGTAAAAAACTCACAGCTACCAATTATACAAGTCCTGGTTGGCGATGTACCAGTAGAAGCCCTCATCGATACAGGAGCAGAAGGAAATTTTATGAGTGAAAATTTCTTCAAAAAGAATTTTTATAGGTACGATTATTTAAAAAAAAATAACGGAAATTATAGCGGCGCAAGGAAAAACATGTCACTGCATCGGGAAATTATCATTAAACTTACAGGTAAAAGAGGAAAGTCTCAAAGTATTAATTTTTGTAGTGAAAGATCTGCAAATCATTCTCTTATTTTAGGTATGGAGTTTTTAAGGGCCGCGAGGGCCAAATTAAATTTTCAAGATAGTTCCGTGGTGTTGGAGATGGACCAGAGGGTGGTGGAACCTGTGGAGACACCGCAAGTTGGACCTTAGCCATCTGAATGACCATGAAAGGAAAGCAATACAGCAAGTGGTGAGTAATTTTTCTCAACTTGTTTTCAGAAAACCAGGAAACTGTCAAATAGTTACGCACAAGATTCAATTAAATGCCGAAAAACCTTGTAGGACTAAACCTTATCGGTATGACAAACAAAAAGACGTAATCATCGAAGAACATATTCAGGAGATGTTAAGAATAAAATAATAACGCCCATAAATAGTGAGTACGCGAGTCCAGTCGTACTATGTAGGAAAAAGAACGAGTTTCCTCCTCCTCGGATAAAAGGGCTTGGAGGTTTGCTATCGATTACAGAAAACTAAATAGTATTACTAAATTTCCAGTTTACCCTTTGCCGGTTATAGACGAGAATCATTAGACAGATCAAATCGACAAGATATATGTCTACTTTGGACTTAACGTCTGGCTACTATCAAATAGCTATGAGACCCGAAGACATACATAAAACCGCGTTTATAACAAAATCGGGCACTTATGCATTTTTACGCATGCCCTTTGGGTTGTGTGGGCCCCATCAACATTCCAGAGAGCTATGGACATTGTTCTAAAGCCTGTCCTAGGAAAATCAACTTTAATTTATCTAGATGATATAATTATAACGAGTAGTACGTTGGAACAACACATTAATGATCTAGAACAAGTTTTTAAATTATTAAAAGAGGCCGGTCTTACAATTAACGCCTCAAAATGCAAGTTCGCAACTAAAGAACTTAAATATCTCGGTTATAAAATTTCGCAAAAGGGTATAGAAACGCAAGATTCAAAAATAAAAGCCATCAAGAATTTCCCACCGCCCAACACCGCCAAGAAACTTTCTTCTTTCCTTGGGTTATGTTCTTACTATCGGTCTTTCATAAAAGATTTCGCTAATATTGTTGAACCTGTTGTTAGTAATTAAAAGAAAGAAAATGTAAATTTACGTGGACAGCGGAAGCAAACACAGCTTTTGAAAGATTAAAAGAAGCGCTCATCAATGCCCCTGTTTTAAAATTCCCGGAAGGGGACGAAAACCTGGAAATTGCAGCAGATGCGTCAGGACTATGCCGTGTAGGTGTGGTTCTTATGCAAAATAGGGCATCCTTCTGGCATTTTTTAGTAAAACGTTGAATCAGACACAAAGGAATTATACAGCTACAGAGAGAGAAACATTAGCCGTATTAATGGCTGTACACAAATTTCGAGTTTATTTCGGCAAAGCGCCAGTAACAGTCTTTTCGGATCATGCGGCTGTTGGTAGACTTTACTCGGGGAAAAAACCTAACGCCCAGGTTAATAAGATGGGCTTTAAAACTCCAAGAATATAATCTCATAATAAAATATAAACCGGGTAAGGAAAACAATGTAGCTGACGCACTTTCTCGTATAAAACTGGACGATGAAGGAAATGAACTTAAATGCGCTGTGTTTGACTTCAAAAATTTTAGATTCTAGAGATACGATTATTACTGAACTGAAAGCTGATCCTGAATTTGGAAATATCTATGCATATTTGAAAGACCCCGAAAGCTTTGAGCACACAGATATCGATGCGATAAGAAATAGAGCAGAAAACTATGAAATAATAGATAATTTATTATTTTATACGAAAACAACAAACGAAAATCTTGAGTACAAACCAGTCATCCCAGCCTCGCTTCGATTAAGCATTTTGAAGGAATTACACGACGCGAAAACAGCGGGTCATTTAGGGGTCAGAAAGACTTAAAAAAGGGTACGCGAGGCGGTATATTTCCCGCAATTATACAAAATAGTAACTGGCGTATGTCAGGTCCTGCAATCAATGTCAGTTAATAAATGATATTAATTACAGCCCGGCCGGGTACTTAAATAGCATTCGCGCTACATTTCCGAATGAAATTTTAGGCATAGATCTTCTTGGTCCCTTCCCCCAGAGCGAGTTAAATAAAAATCGTTTTCTTTTAGTAATAGTAGATCATTTTTCAAAATGGACAGAAATTGTTCCACTTAAACGCGCGTCAGCCAAAACAGTCGCAGATGCATTCTTACACAGATACATTTTAAAATACGGTGCACCGATAAAAGTCATTAGCGATAACGGAAAACAATTCATTAGTCAAATATTTGAAAACATATGCAGTGGACTTGGCATACGCCATATCAAAATGGTTCCGTATAGACCACAGGCAAACATAGCAGAAAGAGTGAATAAAAACATAGTAAAAATAATTCGCAGTTACGTGAGCACACATCACAAGCGCTGGGATGGCTACATAAATGAATTAGCTTATGCTTTAAGAACGGCAAATCACGATACTACGGGAAAAACCCAGCAGAATTATTTTAGGAGGCCGAAAATTAATTACGCCTTTAGATAAATTATTCTTTGTGCAACAAAGAGAGCAAGAGTTTAAACAAAAAGATGTGCAAAAGCTGATTGATCAGGCGCTTAAAAGCTCGGATACGGCAAGAAATAAGCAGAAAACATATTATGATAGAAAACGCCGTGAAGCAGATTTTAAAGTTGGGGATAAAGTATTGAAGCGGAAATTTTCTTTATCAAGTGCCCCAGACAATTTTACGGCAAAGCTAGCTCCAAAATTTGAAGGCCCCTATGTAATTCAGGAAATCAAAGGTGTCG